TGTCCTCATCTTTGTTGCCATATTTATTATAACGTTTCGGCCCTTCAGTATCTGTCTATATTTCTGAGATGAGGTATTATGTACACTATTTATATTATTCGGACTATTGTCCTCATCTTTGTTGCCATATTTATGACAACGTTTCGGCCCTTCAGTATCTGTCTATATTTCTGAGATGAGGTATTATGTACACTATTTACATTATTTGGACTATTGTCCTCATCTTTGTTGCCATATTTATGACAACGTTTCGGCCCTTCAGTATCTGTCTATATTTCTGAGATGAGGTATTATGTACACTATTTACATTATTTGGACTATTGTCCTCATCTTTGTTGCCATATTTATTACAACGAAGAGAAATGACACATCGTTAGGAACAGGAAGAATGGAATCTTTGGACCGGGTTCAAATTTCGACCGTGTCTGTTCCGTTTACTTCGAAATGCACGAATCGACTTTCACATATACACTGCTAGCGTACGCGGTGTTCATCCCGGATTCCCAACCAATCTAGGACAATTCTTATTTCTTGAAAATAGGAATTAAGATTACATTAGGTTAATGATCATTTTCACCTTGTTAATTGAAATAAAATTTACATGGATTTTTCAAACCAGTCAATTGGATGATAAATTATTGAAATAAAAATGACCAAACAGAAGAAGTAAAGAAAGAAGGAAGGGAAGAAAAATGGAAAAAAGAAAGAGAGAGCAAATAAAAACAAGGAAGTAGTGTATGTCTGGATATGAGGAGTGGTCATAGGAGAAACGAAGAGAAAAAAAGAAGAGTGAAGAAATGACCTATTTATTCCATGCCTAGTAGCAATCAGAAGGTAGCTCAGACTTAAAGAAGCCATTTTTAAATCTATTAACAAAAATAATATTACATTAAATAAATAAATTCATTTATATGAAAGTGAGTTAATTCAGAATGAAAGGTATATTAAAATGAACAATATATCAGAAAAAATAATAAAAAAAATAAAAATTGATATTAATATACTGAAATTATTATAATATCGAAGTATTAAGTAGCTAATTTAACATCTACATTAAAATCAACACATTTTAATATTAAACCTATATTTAATAATTTATATATATATATATATATATATATATATATATATATATATATATATATAAAAAGACATTTTTTATGTTTATACATTCTTTTTATAAATAAACATAAAATGTCTTAAAATAATTGTCGGGCTTTGTCCATTTCATAACGTGTGAATCATTTGTTTACATTTGGATACGCATCGAGAGGATATGAAATACGAGAGAAAATCATGGAGAATTGTAGTTTAAAAACAGTAAAATCGACCTTGTTAATCGAAACGCCTCTGTGGTGAAATCGGTAAAAGCACGTCAGGTTATATGACGGTTCCGTTTAGGATATATGTTCGATTCCTGTCGGAGGACGCATATTTTCTATAAAAATTTCTCGGACATTTTGTAAATGTTGTTAATACTGTTTATTATAAACATAGCATTTACTTAAAAATTTGTATCTATAAAAATGAATGTGTAAACATAAAAATGTCTTAAAATAATTGTCGGACTTTGTCCATTTCATTATATATTTATATATATATACACACTTATTTTTATTGTGTTAGGGGTGTTGTTTAGCTTCGTCTGTATTGTAGCATATCCGATCGAAACGAAAATGAAGGCTCCCAGGCTAAATTGGTATCTGTGTTTTCATACGTATTTCCAGTATATAGCAATTTTCTATTTTTCTTAAAATGGGTCATTACAGTCAGGCACCAATACAGAAGTGAAGGCTCTAGGTTTAGTTGGAGCCTTCAAAATCTAAAATTTAAATTCTTCTCAACCTGTGAAGGTCTTTCATTGGATGTAGGCCTTCCCCAAATTAATGGGGATGTTTTAAACCCTTACATCTACCATACTTTACCTATTTTCTTTACCGCTTCAACTTACCACAAAAACGAATATACTTTGAATCATTTTTGGAACTCTGAAGCTTAGCTTCTTACCCACGCAGGCTCTGTCACTCATTTCCACTTCTGTGTTAAAGAGATAATAACATCTTTTGTTTCTATTTGGAATCATATCGTAAAACATACCTTTTCCTTCACACTTCCACTGCTGTGGACATAATCATACATCTCTATGAAACATGCTGTTGGTATATGTATATATACTCGACTCTACGGTCGAATTCGACGTATGAGTGTCAAGCAGATCAGTTCCTAGGAAACCGACAGCCCGACAACAGCACATGAGATTTGATTATAGTGGTGAAGGTTTCGTGCAGGACCATCCACACTTTTCGAAGGGCCGAATACAGAGACCTGGTGCACTACGTGCCACAAGGTTCCCAAACGACCCTTTGAATTCAGAGTTGTCCTTCTCCTAGACCAGTTGCCATCCAAGGCTATAGAACCCAGTTTGTCCTGCTATTTACCCATAGCTGGAGGGATCGGATGTTGTAATGATTTCTAAGCGTAGCTTAGATGTGGCCCAAGGCCGAAGGTATGGAACACCCAGTGAGTATCGAACTCACTACTCAGTCGTAACTGTTCTAGCGAGACAAGCTTGTCAACCATTACGCCACGCCGGTGTGCTCATGACCGGATGTTGTATATGAATTTCCACAGTTTTCTTCCGGTTTCGATGAATTTCTTTTGTTTGATAGATATTTTTTCAGTGATTCCAAATTGTTGGCGACAATGTCTCTCCACTACTTCCTGTCCAGAAACGTTTTACTATTTGCTATCTGATGTAATGAATATGCATACAGTAATATGATTGGCTAGTGTCAGTCATAAATACAGACTGATGTGGAGGTACAGGGACGATGCCTATTGCCTACACCTATTGCCTACCACCACAACGAGGACCAGTCCATTACGGTTACCTGCTGGAATGTCCTACTCGGTTACAGTAGTCCGAAACCACTTTGCTACAAATATATCCCTTTCCGGAACATATGACTATCTTTCATAAAAACTTTAATAAAATAAATAGTTTAAATTATTACAATATTATTTATTATTATACAGTTCCCTTTTCAGGGTCACCCCCCATTCAAATTGTTACCCCCCCATTCGGGGATGTGTCTCAGTTACACCCAATTGTTGTTACTAATATTGATTTTTGGGTGGGCTGACTTTAAACTTAAATTGCTCCAGTTGAACGGCAAATATTCCCAGTAATGAAAGATCCCGTCAAAGACGGGTCATACTGTTAGTTGTATTATAAACTAACTCACGTTTAGTGTTATTTTCAAAATATATATATATATATATATATATATATATATATATATATATATATATATATATATATATATATATTGAGAACCAATGCATGAGTGAACTCCTTGGCATCTTTTTTGTTGAGAACATAAACCCAACGAGTTTGTGCAGGAAAGGTTTGAAAGCTTTATGGGTTACTAGGAACCTCTTCCCGCCACTGTCAAATGGAGAAAAATGGCCTGGTTTTGACACGTTACAAATGCACGGCAGGCTGTGTGAGACCATCATGCAAGGCACCGTTGAAGGAGAGGATGCAAACGTAAAAACTGGTTGGACAATGTCAATGGACACGTATGACTATACCAGAATTGCTGATGGCCGTCGTCGATAGACCGTTGTGGCGGAGATTCAATATAGCTTCTGCATTCGGACCCCCCCACTACGATTACAAAAGTCAAGGGGATAATGATGATGATGATGATGATAGACGTATAGTCGTGTACAACGTAACCTGTCTTATGCTGTATTTTAATTTTTATTTGTATGTATTGGAAATGACATTTAACGCAGTCTGTATTGTAGAATATCTGATTGAAAACTAAATGGTAGCATCCACGACAAATTGCCATCAGAGTCTTTGCGAAACTCATATACCCAGCCAACCTTCTTGCAACATAATCTGAAAAATATATCTGATGATGACCGGAGGGTACGTGGTCGAAACGTTGTGTTTATAATAACATTGTATATCAACAAAGATGAAAAATAATAGTTCGAAATAATACAAGAATACTGACTATTACTCATCTCAGAAATGAACTACTAAATTATGGAAAGAGGTACGAACCCGTTATTTTAACCAAAGGTCAAAGAGCATCCGGCATTAAATATAAAAGACCCCCCACCAAAAAAAACAATTAAGTACGCTGATGTAGAGGCTATAAGTAACTGATATCACGCAGACAAAATATCACACTAATCAACAGATATCCCATATCAGCCAATCAATGGACACCTGATGATGACCAGAGTGTATTTGGTCGAAACGTTCTACAAGTAATAACGTCTGTATTAAACAAGATGAGAACCATAGTTCAAAATATTACAAGAATATTGACAATTACTCATCTTGACAAAAATCACGCATCAACCAATTAACATGCACCTGATGATGACCTGAGTGTATTTGGTCGAAACGCTGTGCCTATAATAACGTCTACATCAAACAAGATGAGAACCATAGTTCAAAATAATACAAGAATATTGAAAATTACATCTCTCGACAAAAATCCCATATTAGCTAATCAATGCACACCTGATGATGACCGTCTATAATATTACCTATACCAGTCTAGATGGGAACAGTAGTTCGAAATGATAGAAGAATACGATTTTGCTTCCTCTTTCTCTTTTTTACCGACTGGTGGAAAATTAAAATTCGTAACTATTTCGAAATATAACTTAGTCTCAGCTAAAAGTAACCTTTCTTGTCTTATCAGTTCGGTTTATTTGAACCGGGATAACACCGCATGACCTTAACAGTCGCAAATAAATAGATAAATCTATGAATACACATTTACGATTGACACATCGATCCAGGAGAAATTTATCAATAACAATTACTTCTGCAGAATATGCAGCTTCACCAATATCAAAACGAAATTAAAGAATACAAAACCAGAAGATCAGGAATTTTTTGGTTTATTTATAAGAAGAAAAAATGAAAAGATATTATCTGTCGTAATTGAGAAAAAATTCAAGGTTCGTTATTATTCTTCGGTGGAAAAGGAGATAAAAATGGAAGGAAGACAGGAAGAAAAACTAACGAAAAAAAATGGAGGAAGAGACTGATAGAAATAAACGTAAGGAGCGGGAAAGAGGAGAAAGAAGTGAGAAGAAAAATAGTTAACAAAAAAAGAGTAAGAAAGAGAAAGAGGTGAGAAGAAACAGAGGTAACAATGAAGTGTAAGAAATGGAAAGAGATGAGAAGAAAGAGAGGTAAGAAAGAAGAGTAAGGAAGAGAAAGAGGTGTGAATAAAAGAGAGGTAAGAAAGAAGAGTAAGAAAGAGAAAGAGGAGAGGAGAAAGAGAGGTTACAAAGAAGAGTACGAAAGAGAAGGAGGTGAGACGAAAGAGAGGTAAAAAGAAGAGGAAGAAAGAGAAAGAGGAGAGGAGAAAGTGAGGTAACAAAGAAGAGTAAGAAAGAGAAAGAGGAGAGGAGAAAGATAGGTAAAAAAGAAGAGTATGTAAGGAGGTGAGAAGAAAGAGAGGTAAAAAAGAAGAATAAGAAAGAGAAAGAGGAGAGGAGAAAGAGAGGTAAAAAAGAAGAGTATGTAAGGAGGTGAAAAGAAAGAGAGGTAAAAAAGAAGAGTAAGAAAGAGAAAGAGGAGAGGAGAAAGAGAGGTAAAAAAGAAGAGTAAGAAAGAGAAAGAGGAGAGGAGAAAGAGAGGTAAAAAAGAAGAGTATGTAAGGAGGTGAGAAGAAAGAGAGGTAAAAAAGAAGAGTAAGAAAGAGAAAGAGGAGAGGAGAAAGAGAGGTAAAAAAGAAGAGTATGTAAGGAGGTGAGAAGAAAGAGAGGTAAAAAAGAAGAGTAAGAAAGAGAAAGAGGAGAGGAGAAAGAGAGGTAACAAAGAAGACTAAGAAAGAGAAAGAGGAGAGGAGAAAGAGAGGTAAAAAAGAAGAGTATGTAAGGAGGTGAGAAGAAAGAGAGGTAAAAAAAGAAGAGTAAGAAAGAGAAAGAGGAGAGGAGAAAGAGAGGTAACAAAGAAGACTAAGAAAGAAAAGAGAGAGGAGAAAGAGAGGTAAAAAAGAAGAGTATGTAAGGAGGTGAGAAGAAAGAGAGGTAAAAAGAAGAGTAAGAAAGAGAAAGAGGAGAGGAGAAAGAGAGGTAAAAAGAAGAGTATGTAAGGAGGTGAGAAGAAAGAGAGGTAAAAAGAAGAGTAAGAAAGAGAAAGAGGAGAGGAGAAAGAGAGGTAAAAAAGAAGAGTAAGAAAGAGAAAGAGGAGAGGAGAAAGAGAGCTAAAAAAGAAGAGTATGTAAGGAGGTGAGAAGAAAGAGAGGTAAAAAAGAAGAGTAAGAAACAGAAAGAGGTGAGAAGAAAGAGAGGTAACAAAGAAGAGTAAGAAAGAGAAAGAGGAGAGGAGAAATAGAGGTAAAAAAGAAGAGTATGTAAGAGAAAGAGGCAAGAAAAAAAGGTGAAAATAAAAGTTAGAAGAAAAGAGGTAAGATAAGTAAGAAAGAGAAAGCGTGGCGTAAGATGACTAACCTTCAGGAGTGTGACTCATTGTGTTTTCCTGGAGTAACGCCTCCCGCTGACATGAAGTGAAAAGATTATATTGAATCAATTACCTGGTGCTAGGAAAGTTAGATCACTGTTAGAGAATTTTTTTCTCTGTCGAAATCTATCTTAGAATAAAAATCTACCATCCATTCATAATTTGAATATTGCTGCAACATCCGGGGCTTCTGTTATATATTTAACGATTATTGATAAACACAAAGAAAAAAATCTACAATATTAATAATCTGTGACGGCATCTCGACTTCAGTCACTTTCTCGTGCTTTTTTCTATAAATATTTTTATAGTAATGGCACTAGATTGGCGTCAAGCCCTCGTCATCTTACAGTTGAAACGGCTAGATGTAACCGTAAGTTCTATGCTAACAGGTTCTTCTCTCGCTTATGGAACTCTCTTCCGGCTTCTGGTTTCACAATCATATTTCATTTTCAAAAGGTTAAATGCAATGCCACTCGTTAGCTTCTGTCTTCTTAATTCTTGCCCATTTATTGTTCTCTCTCCTTTGTTTTATTTTTCATATTCGTTCACACTCAGTAACACCTTGCATCTTAGTGACTTTATTGCCTTGCTTGGGGTGAAATGATAAAATAGAGAAAAAGATAGAAAAGGCGAAAGTGAAACAAGAAGAAAAGAGGAAAGACGAGGGAGATATTGAAGGATATTAAAAGAAAGAGATTCTGTGAATAAGTATAGAAAGAGGAGAGATAGGAGTGAAACGAAAGGGGAAGAAGTCTTGAAGTAAAAAAGAAAATAACAAAAGGAAGGAAATGAATGAAAGACACTAAAAGAAATAAGGAAAGAAAGAAAAGAAGAACTAGTAAAGAAAAATGGTTGCAAAAATAAGAAGGAAAACAAAAAGAAAGAAAATAAATATGAAAGAAACGCTAAACTTGACTTGCATCCCGTAATGAAACAATGTGTCGAGTTCACATATAATACAAGCAATGAAGAGCCCTGTAAAATTTTTTATCTATCTATCTATCTATCTATCTCAGTTTGTTTCTATCTATCTATCTATCTATCTATCTATCTATCTATCTATCTCAGTTTGTTTCTATCTATCTATCTATCTATCTATCTATCTATCTATCTATCTATCTATCTCAGTTTGTTTCTATCTATCTATCTATCTATCTATCTATCTATCTATCTATCTATCTATCTCAGTTTGTTTCTATCTATCTATCTATCTATCTATCTATCTCAGTTTGTTTCTATCTTCTTTCTATCTATCTATCTATCTATCTATCTATCTATCTATCTCAGTTTGTTTCTATCTATCTATCTATCTATCTATTTATCTATCTATCTATCTCAGTTTGTTTCTATCTATCTATCTATCTATCTATCTATCTATCTATCTATCTATCTCAGTATATATCGCTTTGTCTTGTTTTGTTTTACGGCATATCAACTTCAATGGGTTATTTAATGCCGACAAAATTTTTATTGTTGGTAATATCTATCTATCTATCTATCTATCTATCTATCTATCTATCTATCTATCTATCTATCTATCTCAGTATATATTGGTTTGTCTTGTTTCGTTTTACGGCATATCAACCTCACTGGGTTATTTAATGCTGACAAAATTTTCATTGTTGGTAATATTTTTTTGCAAAAATCTTTTTCTGGTAATATATTTTCCTTCGCTGGTAATTCTTTTTGAAAAAATGTATGGCTGGTAATAAGTTTTTTTAAAAAAATGTATTGCTGGTAATAATTTCTTTCTTTTTACAAATTATTTCTGGCATTAAAACCTATTTTTACACTTTCATAGTGTTTTTCTCCCAGTTTAAAGGTTAACTTTTTGTCCATAGCTGAGACCCAAACAGGTGCTACCACTCCGGGTCAAGATAGACTTGGGAACACCAGCAATTAAGAGGTGGTTCCTCGCTCCTCAAACACATCTAATGCTTTACCTAACATTATGCAAACCATGACACAGCCCACGTTTATATTCACTTAAGATATACGAGGTCAGGTGGCAATATATGGACTAAGTGTAACAGAATACAACAGCTGACCGACCGGTTGTTGTATTCTGGTAAACTTTCATTTTAGTCTATCAGCCGGTGTGTTTGCTTACATTTATATCTTTGTCAACCTATGAACTTTGCAGCCGACCCTTGTCTATATTTACGTGTTTTACCTTCGACTCTCGTACAAAGACTAAAAGAATTCGTTAAAACGTGAGAAAAGTAAAAGAAAACTGGAAAGGTTTTACGGAAGTACTAAGAACACCAATGAAAAGTGTGCCTTCTTGGCTTCACATTTTCTAGACTTGAAGTGGAAGGACTACATTGAATCAATAGCTGCATCTACTGCAAGGAAACTTGAGTCACTGTGTCGTGGCAAAAGTTTTTTCTCGTTAAAGTCATTCTTTCACATTTACAAATCTACCATTCATCCGAGCATTCATACTGCTGCCATATCTGGTCTCTTGCTTCTGCTGTACAACTTGAGATTCTTGAAAAAATCCAAAGAAGAATCTGCAATATAATAGATCCTGACCAATCTTCTCGACTTCAGTCACTTTCTTACCGACGTGACCTGGCTTCCCTCTGCCTTTTCTACAAATATTTTCATGGAAACTGCTCTTGTGGCATATAAATATAGATGTCGGATTTAATGATGCATTGCCGGAAGACGCTGAAGAAACGTTACATTTTCAATTTTTAAAATTTTAAGTATTTAAATTTCAGTTTTGAAATTTTTAATTTCAAACGTTGTGGCGTTTGATGTGTCTAGACGCACATCTTAGCCGATCTCATTCTGTTTCCTCAAAGCTTTTCATTTTATCGCTATTGTTTTGAAACACATCCTGACAACATAAGATTTGTTAAGAAAGGTAAGATTTTGTAAGAAGTGGACGAAATATTACCGTGGAAGTTTCAGAAATCAATGCACTTTCTATACATTTTCGCCTTAGTAAATTAATCTCTCATTTAATTAAAGCAGCGTTTTCGAAATCGAATCAGTAAATATTGTGTTCCATATTGTACTATTGTATCAGAAATGGGCTTCCATATTAACACACTAACAAGCAGGAAAAACATAATTTGTTATTAACTCTAATAAATGGCTGGTGAATACTCGCCATATCGTAACCAGCCTTTCAGTTGAATAAGACTTCGGAAATTTCCTCAAAGAGAAAGAAGAGACTTGAAGGAAAAGAATTGTGGTTTTACAGAAGGATGCTGAGGATACAATAGACCGAACATGTGAGCAACAATGTGGCCTTAGAGAAAGTGGAAACAAAAAGGAAAATTATGTTTAAAATTAGGAAGAGGAAGCTGAAATTTCTAGGGAACATAATGAGGAAAGAGGGTTTGGAAAATCTGATACTCACAGGATAGATTGAAGGCAAGCTAGAGAAAGGAAAACAACAAATGAGCTTGAGTAAATGGATGGTCGAACATGGTTTAGGAGAAATAACAAAATTTATTAAGAGCTCTAAAGGCGAGAAAATTGTGGAGAGCCATGATCGCTTACGTCCTGAAGACACATGGCACACGAAGAAGAAAAAGGCTAGGATTGCAGACCCATCTCGCCTCGGTGTTCGTCTTATTACTGTTACACACCGTAGATATGAACACTAATGTGTATGTCCCCATTCTCATAAATATGTTGGACACTATTGTAAGTGGGGGTTCTATGCTGTCTAAGGTGTCCACCACTAGTAGTGGTTTACCTACTCCACGCCGCTGGCGAGTATTGTATTTTGTTGACGTTATAAACATTACCATTTCATTTCCAACCTCCGTTAGCAACTCCCTGCATCTGCTCGGTCTCACGTGACCTGAGATGGAACAAATACATTGAGTCAATTGCTTCTTCCACCGTGAGGAAAGTTGGCTCTCTGTGCCGCGCCAGGAAATTTTTCTCCCCGGAATCGATACTTCAAATATACAAATCAACCATTCGCCCTTGCATGGAGTATTGCTGCCATATATGGTCTAGGGCACCTTCTGTTCACCTCGGAGTTCTTGACAAGATCCAGAGACGGATATGTAATGTAGACGAGACGCCTGATCTGGCGTCTCGTCTACAGTCACTCTCTCACAGACGCGCCGTCGCCTCTCTTTGTCTTTTCTACAAATACTTTCATGGTAATTGCTCTGATGAGCTGCTTTCACTGGTCCCCAGACTCCATGAATTCAAGCGCCCTACGAGGCTGGCATCCCGCTCCCACCCTTACAATGTAGAAACTTTTAAATGTAGCCGTCTCTTCTACTCCAATAGCTTCATACCTCGCACCTCTCGCCTATGGAACACCCTTCCCTATTACTGTTTCCCTGAGAGCTATAATCTCCAACTCTTCAAATGTAATGTCAATCGACATCTCCAGTTACCTTGATCTACCCACTATCCTTCTCGTCATCCTTTCTTCTATCACTCCTATCTGCTCTCGCTCCAAATCTTCTGCAACCCCCTGCATCCTAGTGGCTTCACGCCTTGCTCGGGGCGTAATGCTTAAAAAAAAAAATTCCTCACTCAGTAACCTTTCCTAGGTTACAACATTCACCAAAGTTAAGCAATGTCAAACCTGGTCAGTACTTAGATGGGTGACTGTTTGAGAATACCAGGTGCTGTCAGCTTAGAAGTGTAGGTGGTGTAATAGATAATAGCTTTTATATTTCACGTGTGTGTAAATATTTTCTCCTTTCCCACTCCCTTAGCGATTTTGTCCAATGGGCAGAATACAGCGGCCTTTCCCTTTTTGAGGGTTGGACGGTCCCTACTAACATCAGCTATGTTTAGTTTGCTTTGTGTTAATATTTAGTTTGTTTTGGGGTTCATTCCCCTCCCGTCTCATTTTAGTCATCCATAAATTTTTAATTAAAAATTTTATAATCATCAGATTTTTATGACTTGGGATGCGTTTTGTAAGTCCCCCCCCGACCCTTGAGAGGGTGCGTTATTATGGTGTATGGAGGATTGATTGGTGACGGACATGTTTTTATGGTGAATGCGAAAATTGTAATGAGTAAATGGGTCGTGAATCGGATTAGGCAGGTATAACATGACGAGCCCCAACTTCTTCCCCATTTCGGCCTTGTGCCATAATTTTGTATTTTCACACAATAAATATATATATGGTGTCTAAGTAGTCCACCACTAGCAGTGGTTTACCTACATCACGCCGCTGGCGAGTATTGTATTTTGTTGATCATATAAAGATTACCATTTTATTTCCAACCTCTGTTTTGGTTATTCCTCATTCAGTAACCATTTCTAGGTTACAACAGATGGTTACTAAAGGAGTTTATATATATATATATATATATATATATATATATATATATAGAGAGAGAGAGAGAGAGAATATGTATATACCTTACCTATGAACACTAATGGGTATACCCCAATCCTCATAAATATGTTGGACACTATTGTAAGCTGGAGCAATATGCCGTCTAAGTAGTCCACCATTAGCAGTGGTTTACCTACTTCATGCCACTGGCGAGTATTTTATTTTGTTGATGTTATAAAGATTACTATTTTGTTTCCAAACTCCATTTTGGTTATTCCTCAATTCAGTAACTTTTTCTAGCTTACAACAATTACAAACAGGAATCTTCACACATCAAGGTAGAGGCGAAATTGTCCGACCAATTGTCCAATGCAAACTCTATAAACAATTATTTTTAGTCAGGCGATCCAGATAAGTTAACTGCTATAAAGTCTAAAGTCAGGACGCAATATCTAGGATATATGTTTCTATTCCAGAATAGGAATGCATGCACAGATGCGTATTATACACGAATAATTACAATAATAAGATGATTTAAAAAAAAATCTGCTTAATCTTTGCTAACGACACATCCATCTGTGGGCCGGGAAAAATCAAAAGGAGACGAAATGATTTTGCGAAAGTTAATTAGTTCATTTGGTGAT